GGACACGGTGTTCAAAAGTGGAAAGACAGTTTCAACCAAACAGGTGCGAGAACCGCCGTGGTTTGTGATTAGTTGGACAGACTTGAACAGTCAAAGAAGACCCAATGAATGGATTATGCTCCCACAGGACCCACACGCATAGCCTACCTATCACCTAACAATAAATTTGAATAAAATTGACTCACCTTTCTTTGAAGGATCGGCAGAAAATGGCAAAGCAGCAGAAGAACCCTTGGATGGCATCAGCTTTGTTACCTGCAAGCCAAGACCCCTCACTTCCACAGGATCTGGAACAAAACAGGCAGCAGATGCAGAAGAGTACATCAGGATCTAGATAGGCTCCAGTGCAGCTCTAACCCCGATACAAAACGGGACTCGTGTAAAAAAAGAGGAAAAGGCATGATCTATATGATGCATGACGGGTTGCTATGGCCTCTTCTTCTTCTTCTTCTTCTTCTTCTTCTTCTTCTTCTTCTCCTCCTCCTCCAAAACAGGCAGCAGATGTAGAAGAGTACATCAGGATCCAGATAGGCTCCAGTGCAGCTCTACCCCCGATACAAAACGGGACTCGTGTAAAAAAAAAAGAAAAGGCATGATCTATATGATGCATGACGGGTTGCTATGGCCTCTTCTTCTTCTTCTTCTTCTTCTTCTCCTCCTCCTCCTCCTCCTTTTTCATCTTCTCCTCCTCTTCCTCCTCCTCCTCCTCCTCCTCCTCCTCCTCCTCCTTTTCTTCTTCTTCTTTTAACTTGATCATAGGAAGTACATAAAAGAATGCTCCCTAGCTTCCTTCCGTTACAGTCGAAAGACCCCCCTGATCACCATTGATTACTCCTTGTTATGGAGGATTTTTTGACAGTCAGATAACCTGTTCGTTCTTGTATCGTTCTCAGTCTCACCCTGGACTTGTAGATCAGTTTGATACCAAGAATAATCTGACGAAGGTCTTTATTTCTTTCATTTTTTTTCAATCCTTCCGAAGGAAGCAATCAATGCTGTCAGGGGATGGGGCAGGACAGAAGGGAGGGAGATGGTAGCAATAGATGATGCAGAAATTTTAAACAGGAGCACGGGACGGGGAACAACAGACCAGTAGCAATAGGCTAACTGAGGCAGGGGTGAGTGGAGGTACATCTTTCCAGATTGGAAGTAATCAATGCCGCGCACTCGGGTCTCTCTACCGTAAAGGGGAGAAGTGTTAGAGTGTGTTGTATTCTGTACTTCGACTTGCCGATGGAGGTCTAGAGTTGAGTGGGGACTCTGGGGAGCCCATTTGCCACGTTTGTCATAGCCCTTGGAGGGCCAGTCTGTCCTCTTTCAGGCAGATGGCGCCATTGTCTACAGCTGAGCTAGTTGTCCCACATCGCCACGATTTGCCTCCGA